CTTTAATGCTTAATGCCGATCTAGCCCACAGGTCCGTCATGAGTGTCTCAACTTTAATATAACTAGCAAAAGGGCCCATGCGTTGCAACCGGAGAAGAAAAAAATAGGACCCTGCCTCTATTTCAGTATGGTACCCCACCCGTGTTGCTGATTATCCTCCTTACCACGCTTGTTGCCGATGACAATGGCGTTCATTTGATTGCAACATGTGATGATCCCAGACACCACACAACACACTTGGCAATTAACCGCACCAGCTGAAGGGAATGTTAAAACTAATCTCATCAAGCTAGTAGTGAGGGTCGCCCTCCGCAAGCCCCTCCATGCACCTGATCCATACACTATCCCTCATACCCCTGCTTGCTTTTGACTTGTAATGTCGTGAACTTGTATTTTTTGGAGGGAGGGCATTCATGCATATCATACATATAAAGATTCTATACCTCATATGAGAAATCATGCTAGTGAGCATAGCTTCTAATGAATATGTGTTGGCTTCGGTCTTAGGCTGTTGCCTCCCAAAGTAGTTTCACAACAGAGATGTTACTACCAGAAATAAGTCTATCCAAACACTATGATAACCACCTTATAGATGAAAAAGGTGGGAGATGATTCACATGAGTTGATAAGAGTAGACATGCAAATATTGCAATCGACATTAACAACTCAGATAGAAAACACAAGATTGGTAATTTTAACTATTAGCAGTAAAGAAGTGCAGACAATTCCTAGGTAGCAGTCATTTGTATAGCTTCGAGTTTGTTTATTTTCTCTGCAAAAACCAGGATATAATATGTTTCACAAGCAAGCTTAATGCAAAGAAAAAGGGCAATACCAACATGTAACAGGAAGATACGTGAACTTTTAAATAATAAATGAGGATGTTCTCGTTGTTACACACGACCATAATAACACTTGCACTAAGATGGAAGTTAAGAGGAGCAAAATCCAACAACAGAAGTACTACCATTGTCAGAAAAAATCACTGCAACAACCTACTACTGGTATTATCTCAAAACGAATCTCTAAGCAAGCAAGCAAACTGGGATGTGGTATGCCCTCTATTAAAAAACGTGATTTGATTTGTATTCAATATATGAAAAGTACCTAGATATGAAACGTGATTTGATTTGTATTCAATATATAGACGTTGATATGTGACTGAAGCAATATCAGCAAAGTACTTAGAGGATGGATTCATTTCCTTCATCGTGGTGACACATGCCAAATTCCAGCACAGTTTGGATTTATTTGGCCCTCCAAATAAATCTTTTCGCATATCATTTTCCTTTTATGTAAATAGAAAAAAGGGAAATCTTTTTCCCCTCTCTCTCTCCCTCCCTCCCTCCTCTCTCTCTCTCTCTCTCTCTTTCTCTCTCACCAGCCGGCCTAGTTGGCTTCCCGCCCATTTACCCCAAGGCCCAGCCGACCTCCCCTTAACCCTAGCAAGCCCCATCTCTCCACTCTGTCTGTCTCAATCCCTATCTCGTCGTCATAGGAGAGGGCGCCCCGTATCACCGCACCGTATCATAGAACATTCTTCTGGTTTTCAACTTTGTAAAATAGTTCATGAATTTAGGAGCTCAAACTTTGAGGCTCACAACTTAGCGAAGCATGCTTTATTCCTCGGGGGTGGCCGCCATGTTTGGTTAGGTCATCCTGCAGATCTTTCTTTCGTCCCTGTAAACATTGTGACGGGTTAATAAAAAGCTTCGCGAGGTTGTCTCAAAAAAAAAGGAGAGGGCGCCCCGATCCCCATCTCCCTCTCGATCCCCTCCTCCCTCGCTCGTCTCTCCCCCTTGATCCTCTCTCTCGCTTTGCCTCTCCTTCTCTGTTCTCTCTCAACTCTCTCTGCATGTCTTCCTGTCTTCAGGCAACAACAGCCGCCAGGGTCACCATCGCGCCACCCTTCACTCCGGCGACCCCACGCCAGTCAGCAGCAGGAGGTCCTCGCCGCGACGCCGCCCTTTGCCTTGTCCCCCTCGCCCCAGCGTCTCCCCAAGTGCACGCACGCCCCGTGCCCTTCCTTCTCGAGTTCTCTTTCACCATGGCGCCCTCCTCTGCATCGAGACGCGACGCGCCGCCGCCTCAAGTGCCTGCCTCGCTTCCCAGTGCGTGGATCCGGCCGCCCTCGAACCATTCCCGTCGAAATCCAGCGTGATCCGGCCGGAGAATGAACGCCGTCGCGTCGCTGGTCTTCTTCCACGATGACGCGGCCTGGAACCTCCCGTGCCTGCCTTCCACAATGTTTTTTCTAAGATTGAAACGTTTTTTAGATTAAAAAAGGAGTCCGGGTTGAATACTACAAAATATAAGAATCTTTTTGTAAAAACGGCACGACGGTGAACCGACTCAACCCGTACTTTATTATTATTAGGGAAAGACTTTGTACCAGGTGTAGAAGATTAGCTTGTCCATGATCCTCCAACTATAATAACAATAGTTACAAGCGTTACAATCCAATTACGTGTTCATAAAGATGATATAGTAAACGTAAATATATAGCTTTTTTTATACCATAATTATCTCCCAATCTTCTATTCTATGTGCATTTTGTTAAGATTTTTTCATGACTTCTGTCCTATGGATTGCGTTAAAGCACTGAAGAATACTTTGCCCCCATTCTCCTTGCCATCCTATTCCTCACGCTTGTCTGCTCGAGCACAGAGCCATTCCGTTCTCTTTTCTCCCTTGCACTCTCGAGAGGTCACCACCTCGTGCTACCGCCGGCTCGGCGCGCCGCCGTACGTTTGCCTGCCGTGCACCAATATTTATCCGGATCGGTCGCTGCCACGAGAGATGCCGGAGAAGGGAGAAGGAGTGAGCGAGGTAGGAAGGAGGAGCAGTGGGATCGAGGGGAGTACAGTGTAAAGGGCACACACTGTTGAGCTTTATCCGAGCATCCATGGGGAGGGACGAATGAAGGAAGCATCCGCGTGCCTTTGATGATTCCTTTCCAAAAGAAGACACCTACGACTACGGGCACCCAGTTGCCATCATCCTCGGGCTGGGCGGACCGGAGCAGCACATAATATCACTGTATGTCACTATACCCCGCCGCGCCGACCATGGAGACTGCTCCTCCGCCGGCCGGAAGCGGAATCACGGCGACGGAGCAGCAGAAAGAGGACCTCGAGTTCCTGTGGAAGTGGCGCAAGTACCTGCTGCTGCTCGCCACGCTGGTCGCCAGCGTCACCTACGCGGCCGGTCTCAACCCGCCGGGCGGCGTCAGGTCCGACGAGGCCCCGCCGCTGCCGGCGGCCTACCCGGACCGCGTCGGTGACCCTGTGCTCCTCACCACCAACGAGCGCCGGTACACGGCCTTCTTCTACTGCAACGCGGCCGCCTTCATCGCGTCCCTCGTCGTCATCATGTTCCTGCTGGACCGGCGCATCAGCGACAACAGCGTCGGCCTCACCGTGCTCCGCTCCGCCATGCTGCTCGACCTGCTCGCCCTCATGGCCGCCTTCGCCGCCGGGAGCTGCCGCGACGTGGCCGCGTCCGCCTATGTCTCGGCGCTCTTCGCACTCGTCTTCGCCTGCGTCGCCGTCCATGTCCACGTGCACAAAGCCCGGGAAAAGCAGACGGCCGCCACACCCCCCGCGGAGAAAGCCCCGGCGGCCGCCCCCACATCCCGCGCGGACAAAGCTCTGGGAGAGCCGGCGGCCTCTGCAACATCCCGCGCGGACAAGTTCCTGCTGCTGCTCGCCACCTTCGCGACGCCGCTGACGTACGGCGCGGGGCTGGTGCCGCCGGGAGGCTTCTGGAGCCAGACCGAGGCAGGGCACCTCGCCGGCGCCCCGCTGCTGCACGACGGGCCATACAAGATCCGCTACAACGTCTTCTTCTACGCCAACGCCAACTCCTTCGTGGCGTCCCTCGCCATCATCATGCTGCTCATGAGCCGGACGCTGATGAGCGGCAGCCTCGCCCGGTCGCACGCGCTGCCGGTGTGCGTCCTGGTGGAGCTGCTCGGCCTCATGGCCGCCTTCGCCGCTGGGAGCTGCAGGAGGATCCACACCACCGTGTACGTCGTCTGCCTCGCCGGCCTGGTGCTCCTCAGCATTGTGCTACAGGCGAAGGCCATGTACACGTTCGAGCAATGGCGTGCATACGCGCGCCGCGTGCTGACGTGCACCAACTTGGAGCCAGAACAAGAGCCAGACACGCCGCCGGGTAATTCTCATGGAGGAGGTGACTCCGGTGAGGTCCGTGTGGAGACCATCCAAAATGGGCAGGTAGACGACAAGGTGGAGGAGTCGCGGTCACTTCTGCTGCTGCTGGGCACCCTTGCGACGACGGTGACCTACCAGGCGGGGCTGAGCCCGCCAGGCGGCGTGTGGCCGGACAACCACGACCCAGGGCATCCAGACCACATCCCCGGGAACCCGATCCTCCTCGACATGCACCCGAAGAGGTACAAGGCGTTCTACTACTGCAACACGGCGGCGTTCGTGGCGTCGGTGGTCATCATCATCATCGTCCAGAGCAAGGAGCTGAGCTCGCCCGCCACCATCAGACGCGCCGCGCTCAAGACGGCCATGATACTGAACCTGTTCGGCCTCATGGGCGCCTACGTCGCCGGGAGCTTCCGGGACGCCCCCACCACCATCTACGTCTTTTCCTTGGCCGTCGCCGTCTTCGTCTACTGCATAGCCAAGGTCGTGGTGTTCAATGCTCATGGTCAGAGCAGGCTCGGCAAGTGGGTGCACGACACGTTCAACAGGCTTGCACAGCGGTTGCATCTCTCTGCCAGCCAACCCGGGTCCGAGCCCGAGGGCAGTGAAGAAGATCGCAAAAAGCTCTAGAGGAGGCGCAAGTTCTTGCTGCAGCTTGCCATCCTCGCCGCCACCGTAACTTACCAGATCGGCCTGAACCCGCCAGGAGGGTTTTGGCCGGAGAGCAAAGGCGAGGGGTCGCTTATCGCCGGCGACCCTGTCCTCCTTGACCACTACTCGATCAGGTACCAGGTGTTCTTCTATTGCAATGCTACAGGATTCATGGCGTCCGTCGCCGTCATCCTCCTGCTGGTGAACCAGAAGCTGTACAAGCAGGGCATCCGGAGCAATGCGCTCCGCGTCTGCGTCATGGTCGGGCTTCTAGGTCTCATGGGAGCTTACGCAGCGGGCAGCTGCCGACAACTGCGGACCTCCATCTATGTCTTTGCGCTAGTGGCCGCGGTGGTCACCTTCCTCGTCCTGCAGACCCTACTTTTCGTGTCGGCGGGGAGAGTCAATTGTTCAAAGTTGCCATGGCTTCCTGAGCGGCTAAAGCGGCTGTTCGAGCCCCTAGGATCATCGCCGTCATGGTTGTCCGTCCAGAACAAAGGTGATGATGAGCAGTACGCAAAACGCAAGTACCTGATGCTGCTCGGCATCCTTGGAGCGAGCGTGACGTACCAGGCGGGTCTCGCGCCTCCTGGTGGCACGTGGGGCGACGATGATACTGCGTCGTCCCCATCGCCGTCGCCGTCCCCATCAGCAAGCCCACCAAACGTCGCCGGCAACCCGATCCTACTTCACTCCAACCCGGCACGGTACCAGGCCTTCTTCTACTGCAACGCGACGTCGTTCATGGCCTCCATCGTCGTCATCATGCTGCTGCTGCAGTACACCGTGAAGAAGCAATACACCGTGAAGAAAAGCGCCGCGCCATTGTGGGCGCTGCAGGCCGCTGTGGTGTTGGACCTGTTCGGCCTGCTAGGCGCCTATGCCGCCGGCAGCTGCAGGGACTGGGAGACGTCCGCGTGCGTCATCGCGCTCGTCGGCGCCGTGGTCATCTTCATCACGGTCTACGCGCTGCTGTCGTTCGACGCCGTGCGAGGGAGCGTGAAGGCCCTCACGGTGTGTAAGTACTTTTCTAAGATGATGGAAAAACAGGTCTGGGAGCCCTTGGGAATTAGCAATGGTGATGATGATCAGTCAGTCGCAATCGATGACAGTGTGTAATCAATTGATTCTTCTTGTCTACATTCCCTTGATTTGTTATTTCTTACTATTTGTCAGCATAACAATGCAGATGAACCAACAACTTTGTATGGTTCATGTTACATCTAATGTAGTCCTGCTAAATAGACAAACCAAAACAGAGCACGTATTTTTTCAAATGAACTAGTTTCACAGGAAACTACATGCTGAGAAATTTTAGCTCCACATGGAAGCTCACATAGGTTATGAATACAATCCTCATAGATATCAATGGGTGCATCCATGTTGGATGAACCCGATTGAACAACTGCACTGTTCTTTTTACCCTGCAGACAGAGCTGGTGCTAGAAGGCCATCCATCTCAGATCTCACTAGTCAGTACTACCTCCGTCCTGTTTTATTGGTCCCCTTTGTAATTTGTGCCAAATTTGACTAAATATTTAACTAACAAAATATTAATGCATGTCAATAAAAATTATATCACTGAATTCGTATTTGAACATAGTTTCCAATGGCAATTTTTTTATGACATGCATGAACATTCTGTTAGTTAAATTTATGATCAAAATTTGACACAAAATACAATGGGGACTAATAAACCAGGACGGAGGTAGTAGAACACACAAACATGCAAAAGTTAAAAAAAAGCTCAAACGCAAGAATGCAATGGGTGATGATGCTGGGATGGAAGTAATTGTCAGACTTCAGCAATTGCCAGATTGTGTGTTCACTTAAGCACAAATACAGTAGGTTATATATTGTACTGTAAGACGAATCAACAGAAATTCAGTGACTCTTCAAATCCATAACTCGAAACAAGTCAAGAACTACATTACATCCCCTAGCGTTTAGATCACTAAACATATTATCTTCACGGAAAATGCTAGATTTACGGATGGTTTCTACAGATTTTGCCTATGGACTCGTTTCCCAAGAAATCATCCCCCCCTAGACCTGGCCATCCTCCGGGCCGGGCCGGGCTTCGGGCCGGGCCTGACCAAGCCCGAGGTAGAAAACTCAGGCCCGAGCCCGGCCCGGCCCGGCCGTCGGGCCTAGTTTTCAGGCCCAAGCCCGGCCCATCACAGCAAAAAACACGTCGGGCCTCGGGCCTCGGGCCGGGCCTCTTCAGTAAATGGCATAAACAGCGGGCCCAGGCCCGGCCCGACCTAGTCTTCGGGCTCAAAACCTAGGCCCAGGCCCGGCCCGGGAGCAGCGTCGGGCCGGGTCGGGCCGGGCTTTTTCGGGCCGGGCTGTCCGGGCCGGGTGGCCCATGGCCAGGACTACCCGCCCCCCCTATTTCTAGTGGTGGCCCCCCTCTCCTTTGATTTTCTATCCCATCTTGACAGCTCATCCCGTAACCGGATTCCCATGCAAAACGTTCAGAGGTGTAGCGTTGTCCTATCTTCGCCAAGGGGCAAGGGCTGAGTGGGGAAGGGCATTATATTGCGGGCCTAGTACAAATGGGGTTCAAAATCGAGTGGACTTCGCATGGATCCGCCCCTGCTCCTTCTTGTATGCTTTGGAAGATTGCACTGGCTAAATAGATCGTCTAATGTAGATTCTTGTCGGAAACAAGGAAATGAGATGTTGATATGTTGTGTGATTTATTTTTTTGCGGAATATGTTGTGTGATTATTAGCTTGTGCATGCCATCATATAATTATTTAGTACTACAACTGTTCCAATCAAGTGATCTGTTGATATAGACACTAGTAATGAATAAAGGTGGTTGCCCTGTTGTTCTTTGAGTTCCAATCGTCGATCTGCTTCATGTCGGCCTCTTCGATCTGGACGCCGATGATTTCCGGTCTTCCTCTCGGAGATCTCGCTATGGGCGCATGGCGCTACTGGATATCTAGATCGGAATTGTTCCGGTCGTGTGCACCCTTATCTTCGGCTAGAGAGGCTTCATGGGGGAGCGCGAACTTTCGTTGTCTTGCCGGGGCCATGGACATGTCTAAATATAGATTTTCATGGCATTGACAGTGGTAAAGAAAGTCATGTTGGTTGCGATCGGAGGCTTGTAATGGCGTAGAGGAGTTTTGGCTGCGATGAAGACTTGCGGCATGGGTTTTTTCAGTGTGTCGGGTGGTGAGAACTTGCAGCAGCGGCCTTGGCAGGAGGGGACAACAACACATGTGGACAACATTTCTGGTAGTGCTTCTCGAGTACCGAGCCATGATTTCCAGGGTGAAAGCCCAAGGTCTGGCCTTCATTGGTTGCACCTGGCAATGGCTTTGTTGAAGGCATTGTTTTGGGATCTCAGTCTTTTTCCAGGGTGAAAACTCGAGATACTTGATCGGGCGACGACAATGCATGTGCCTTACTTTCTTCTTAGATACGATCGCTTTTAGATAATCTCTTTTTGGTGGTGGTTGAGTGTTGCTCTTGCGAATGTTTTATCACTGCGATGGGTCTTTGTTTTATATTTGTCTTTTTTTTTCGTGTGCATCTTTTGTCTTTCGATATCCTGTTGGTGCAGAGGTCGGGTGTAATTGGTATTTTTATGATATTAATATATTCTCTGTATATATAGAAAAAGTAAAGCTAAATACTTGGACGCCGCTAACTGCCACACGTGTGGGCGTTAAGGAATCTGCCCACACGTTCTGTGTGGTGTCTAAGAGAACCAGCCCACACGTCTGTGTGTGGGCAAAACAACTAGCGCCCACACTCCTCTTTTTTTCCCTCCCGGTCCCTCTTACACGCGTGCGTGTGGGCGAAATAGATAACGTCCACACGCCCGGTACGTCAGGCCCGCATGCCCCACATGACACTTTACCGCGCGCCCCGCAGTTGCCATGGGCCGGACCCTCGTCCATGTTCGTTTAAGTGCAGTTGCCATGTCGCTGAACTACGGTTGCCATGTCGGACAACTACAGTTGCCATGTTTGCTCAACTGCAGTTGCCATCTCAGGTCAAAGTTCCAGATTGCCATTTTTTGGACAACAACAGCTGTTGCCATGTGTGGTCTGGTCTACTGCAGTTGTCATGACTTCAAAACTTTAGGAGTTGCCACCTACTAACACTAGGCAATTGCCATGTAGCGCTAAAAAAAGGCATGGCAAAAAACATGTTCGGGTAAAAAGAGAGAGTTGCCATGTGCTCACAAGCACGTTAAGGCAGTTGCCATTTAAAAAAGAAAGAATTGCCATCTGCTTACGTGCACGCTAGGGCAGTTTGCCATGTACCATGCTAAACATATGGCAACTAACATGTTTGGGTAAAAAAAAGTTGTCATCTGCTTGCAATCACACTAGGGCAGTTGCCATGTACACTGCAAAACGCATGGCAACTGACAGCTTGGGTGTGGAAGAGGAGGCGGGCGTGTGGGCGAGATGGCAAACTGCCCACACACCAGCCCTTGTGCGTGACTGAAACTGGTGTGTGGGCAAACTGCTAAACGCCCACACACCGGCCCCCTCGTGTGGTAAAACGGATGTGTGGGCGACCTCTCACACACCACACACGCGAGTTGTCCTACGTGGCATAAAAAATCAGCTAATTCGTGCCAAGATTCGTGCAAAAGTTACTGGACGGTGATGGAGGCGTGTGGATGAGTTGGCTAACGCCCACACGTGTGGGCATTAACATTTTCGAAATACTTTGGCCCTTCCACTTGCCATCCTATCGCTCACGCCTCGAACACGCACCAATTCCCATCGCATAATTTCTCTCCCTTGCACTCTAGGGAGGTCACCGCCGCGTGCTACCACCGGCTCCGCACGCGCCGCCGAGCCCGTAGGTGTGGAGAGAGCGAGGTAGGAAGGAGCAGTGGAAATCGAGGGGAAATAATAAAACTTGAAAGGAACACGAGGACCACGTTGAACTTTATCTGAGCATCCTTTTCCTTGTGCGTGGGGAGGGAGGAATGAAGGAAGCATCCGCATGCATGCCTTTGATGATTCGTTTGACGCTTACGGGCCGAGGAGTACAGTACATAGATACGACACCGCACCGATCGTGGACACTCCTCCATCGCCAATTCGCCATCGCCACCGCACCGATCATGGATACTGCTCCGCCGCCGGCCGGAAACAGTACGAGGGAGCAGCGAACAGAATACTTCAAATTCCTATAGAAGTGGCGCAAGTACCTGCTGCTGCTCGCCATGCTGGTTGCCAACGTCACCTACGCGGCCGGTCTCAACCCACCGGGCGGCGTTAGGTCCGACGAGGCGCCGGCGCTGTCGGCGGCCCGCCAGAAACGCATCGGCGACCCGGTTCTCCTGGCCACCAGCCCGCGTCGGTATGCCGCCTTCTTCTACTGCAACGCCGCCGCCTTTGTCACGTCCCTTGTCGTCATCGTGTTGCTGGTGGATGGGCGCATCAGCGGCAACCGCGTTGGCCTCGCCGTGCTCAGCTCTGCCATGCTGCTCGACCTGCTCGCCCTCGTGGCTGCCTTCATCGCCGGGAGCTGCCGCAACGTGGTCGCGTCCATCTACGTCTCGGCGCTGTTCGCCCTCGTCTTCGCCATCCTCTGCGTGCACAGAGACCGGAGGAAGGCGGCGGTCAGGACAAGCGTGGACAAGTTCCTGATGCTGCTCTCCACCTTCGCAACGCCGCTGACGTACAGCGCGGGGTTGTCTCCGCCGGGAGGCTTCTGGAGCCAGACCGAGGCCGGGCATCGCGCCGGCGCCCCGCTGCTGCATGACGGGCCTTACAAGATCCGCTACAACGTCTTCTTCTACGCCAACGCCAACTCATTCGTGGCGTCCCTCGCCATCATCATGCTGGTCATGAGCAGGACGGCCAGCGGCAGCATCGATCATCCGGTCGTATCTGTTGTCGGTGTGCCTCCTGGTGGAGCTGCTTGGCCTACCAGCCGCCGGTAGCTCCACGAGGGTCGACACCACCATGTACGTCGTCTGCCTCGCGGCTGCGGTGCTCCTCACGATTGTGCTGCAGGTGGCGGCCATGTTCCTGCGTACCAGCATGCTCATGTGCAACACTTCGCCAGAACAACCAGACGCGTACGTGATTAACCTCCTCGATCATGTACAACTTAATTTACAACAAGCTTCATTTCAATAACTAGCATGCAGGACCTGGGTGAGCTAATTTATTAGTGTCCGTACGTCACTTGGATATATAGAAACGGGAATCGGGCTAATGCTCAGGAAGAAGACGGAGACGAAGAAGATGTCATCCGTGTGGAGAGGACAAACAACATCGAAAATGGGCAGGTAGGCCACATGGTGGAGTCGCGGTCAATTCTGCTGCTGCTGGCAACGCTCGCAGCGACGGTGACGTACCAGGCAGGGTTGAGCCTGCCGGGCGGCGTCTGGCCGCATAACAACGACCAAGACATCCAGATCACATCCCCGGCCGGGAACCCGATCCTCCTCGACATTCACCCCAAGAGGTACAAGGCGTTCTATTACTGCAACACGGCGGCGTTTGTGGCGTCGCTGGTCGTCATCGTCATCGTCCAGAGCAACGAGCTGAGCTCGGGCACCACCATCAGGCAGGTCACGCTCAAGACGGCCATCATACTGGGTCTGTACGGCCTCATGGGTGCCCAAGTCGCCGGGAGCTCCCCGGATGCCCCCACCACCATCTACATCTTTGCCCTGGCCGTCACCGTCTTGGTCTACTCCATCACCAATGTCTTGTCGAGTAGGCTCATAGCAAGGGTGAAGCTCATGTTCAACAGGCATGCAGAGTTGTTGCATCTCTCTAATGGCCGCCGACCTGATGGGTCCGTGGCCGAGGACGGTAAGACTGGTGACCAACTCGAAAGTAAGCGCCAGTTCTTGCTGCAAATCGCCATCCTCGGTGCCACCATTACGTACCAAACCGGACTGAACCCGCCAGGCGGGTTTTGGCCGGAGAGCAAGGCCGAGGGGTCGCTTATCACTGGCGACCCTGTCCTCCTTGACCACTACCAGAGAATCAGGTACCAGATGTTCTTCTACTGCAACGCGACAGGATTCATGGCATCGATCGCCACCATCTTCCTGCTGGTGAACCAGAAGCTAAACAAGCAGGGCTTCCGAAGCAACGCGCTCCAATTCTCCGTCTGGGTCGGGCTTCTGGGCCCAGTGGGCGCTTACGCCGCCGGCAGTTGCCGGCAACTGCACACCTCCATCTTTGTCTTTGCGCTTGTGGCCGCGGTGGTCGTCTTCCTCTTCATGCAAATCCTACTTATTGTGTTGGATGTAATTTTTATTATTTCTAGTTTTCGTTGTACTACCATGATTAAAGGTGAATAGATTGAAAGTTTTTCCCGCAAAAAAAAAAGGAGCATCCCCTGTCTACGGATGCCATGGCTTCCCAAGGGGTTGCTTGAGCCACTGGTAGCATCGTCGACTTGGCTGCCCCGCAAGAACAAAAGCAACGACGAAAGGTACGTGAAACGCAAGTACTTGATGTTGGTTGGCATCCTTGGAGCAAGCATGACCTACCATCATCCTCATCATCCTGCTGATGCAGTTTGCCATGAAGCTGCAAAGAGCGCCCCTGTGGGTGCTGCAGGCTGTCGTGGTGCTGGATCTACTCAGCCTGCTAGGCGCCTACGCCGTCGGCAGCTGCAGGGACTGGGACACGTCGGTGTACGTCATCATGCTCGTCGCCGCCTTGGTCATCTTCATCACGATCTACGTGTTGCTGTTTGACGACATGTGGCGAAACTACTTTTCTGATACGAAAAGGATGGTGTGGAAGTACTTAACAAGAAGCAATGGTAGTGATCAGTCAGTCGCAGCCGGTACACCAGTGTAGCTTTTTTGACACTTCTTGTCTACATTCCCTTCAATGAGGAATTGGACCTTGGATGTTTGAGGCCACTTCAACTGTTATTTGGGAGTCTGGCAATTTGTTCATTCGCCGACTTTCTTTAGCTCAATCTCTTATCCTAGAACATTCTGCAATTCTTGGCGATCATAAGATTCTAAATTATTACGTGTCATGAATTTTTGTTTGGAGCTCCAACTTCCAACCACGATTTCCATCTAGCGCAGTCCTAGTGAATAGATAAACCAAACAAGACCACGATTTCTGCCAAATGAAACTACTACCACAGATAACTACTCCCTCCGTAAAGAAATATAAGAGTGTTTAGATCACTATTTAGTGATCTAAATGCTCTTATATTTCTTTACAGAGGAAATATATGCTAATGAGCACTTTTTAGCTACACAAGTGAGATAAAACAGGGCACAAGGGCAATTGCAGTGTTCGAGCTGGCGCTACAATGCCATCCATCTCACTAGTCAGTACACTAGTACAGTAGTCATTAACCAGATAAAAACATACAGGAACAGGACTAGATAGATATATAACAGATAACTAAACACAAACATGGACAAGTTCAAAAAACTAAAAAACAAGAATGCAAGGGACAATGATGCTAGTACGGAAGTAATTGTCAAATTAAAACCTAATAATCTCCCTACTGATGTGAAGATGGTACAAAACTAACTTGTCCAAGTAGCAAGTAATGATAGTGCATACACAACAGGAGATAGATATGGCCTACACAACTTTTGGAGATTATTTATGCTACATACAGTACATATATTTTAACCTATTATTCATTTCATCATGGTTGACTTGCTTTTCTTTTCCATATTTCACATTGAATAAAAAGGACAGACCCAGAGCTAGAAGCTCCGATGCCAGGTGGGGTTTGGGGAAGGATTATGCGAGGCAAGCCTTACCCCTGCACATTCCAATGCAAAGAGGCCGCGCCAAACCCAGGGCCTCTTAGCACAAATGGGGAGTACTTCACCATTGTGCATTTGTGCTAGGCCTGTCCTTCAACTTTCATATTAAATATTTTCTACTAATAATTAACAACCATCTATATGAGTATGTTTATATTTGTTAATGCTGTAGTAATTTGTAACATGCATAAAAATCAAAGCTCTACTACATATGTACAAGGTAATTGGAACTTATGTCAACTACATATTAAATGTCGAATTTTAGGTTTAATTAGACATTAGTAACAGTTGTTACAACGGCCTAATAATCATTTTGCAGATAACTAGAATTTAACAACTTCAGCTGTTACCAGATTGTGTGCTCACTTAAGCACAAACAGAGCGTAGATTCTATATTGTATTGTAAGACGATTCAACAGAAATTGACTGACTCTCCAAAATTCATAACTGATAACAAGTCGGGAACTACATTGCATGTCTCCTCTGCTCTATTTCTGTACACATGAGTCCAAGATAGACATCCTCACTTGCCCTCGTTACAAATTTCTAGAAGGCCCTATGCACTAAGTAAGCAGGCCACAGGCTTGCGCCTAGGGCTTTTAGATGGCGTACTTATTAGTTAGTACTACCTGATCTCGTCCATTTGTCCTCCATTATGGTAGCCCAGGGCCCAGGCCCGAGCTAGGCTGCCTTTTAGAGCACTTCGCCTTTCAGGAAAATATTAAAAAAAATCATCTACATTTCTCATTTGCCGTTTGCATTTATACCAAGGACCTAGAATACTATTTCCATTATACTAGCCCAGGCCTAAACTAGGCTGCCCTACAGAACACTTCACCTTTCAGGAAAATATTAGACAAAATCATCTACATTACTCTTGCCCTTTAGCTTATCACTACAGACCTAGTAAATTATTTCCATTATGCTAGCCAAGGCCCAAACTAGGCTCCTTTTGGAACACTCCTTCAGGAAACTGTTATACAAAAATCATCTAGGTTATTCAGCTGTCATTTGGCTTATTACCACAGACCTAGTAAACTATCTAACATTATCCTAGCCAAGACCCAAACAAAGACTGTATTTCAGGAAAATATTAGACAGAAATCATCTGCATTACACACTTGTCATTTGGCTTATTACTACGGAAGTACGGACCTAGTACACTATTCTTACACTTGTATGGTCACATCATAACTGATTTATGAGAAATATCTTACCACACATTGCAAAACAAGAAAGATTCTCTGAAACTGCACAGATACACTAAATAGAAAATGGATCTTGACAGCAGCATTATCACGCATTCACAATTTCAGAAAAAAGGAACACATAACAGTTTACTATCATTTGAAATAGATAATCCTCAGATCACCAACTGAAATTTGAGTGCAACCCAACATCCTATGGTAACATAACTTAAATTGTACACTAGAGTCATCAGCAACAGCTTAGTATCCTCAGATCTGATGACGGATCTGGCATAACGAAGTGTGGGAGATGAATTTTCGGCCTCACCATAGGTACCCGGGTATCTTGATGCGGAGGAAGAGCATGGCCATGGCGTAGGCGATGACGATGGCGGCGACGCCGGCGCCGCCGAAGGAGACGCGCAGGCTGCGGGGCCTGGTGCGGTCGACCGCCAGGTCGAGGAGGATGACCCCGATGCCCCCGAGGAGGAACATGAAGCCGGAGGAGAGGCCCTCGATGATGTACTGGCCGTTGACGCGGCCGGGCAGGAAGACGACGGGGCGGACGGCGCCGGTGGCCGGGTCCTGGGTGCTGCCGATGCCCGGGGGCTCGACGATGACGTCGTAGACGAGGCCGGAGACGACGGCGAAGTAGGTGAGCAGGATGAGGGAGAAGACGACCATCGGGGACGGGAGCGCCAGGTTGGACGGCAGCTTCAGGCGGGTGCGCGGCGGCTGGAGGAAGGCGAAGGGGACCACGCGGAGCGCGTGGAAGAAGGGGTCCATGGAGTCGAGCCCGGATCCGTGGCTCTGGGCGGCCGCCGCGGCCGCCGCCGCGGCCGCCGAGGCGCTCCCGCCGGCGTGCTCCGATCTGGGAGCCATGGAGACTTGGGGGATTTGGGTCTGTTGTGTGTGGGCCGTGGGGGATGGTCAGCGGGGGGATGAAGCCGGACAAATTGAGAAAAGCAATTCTATCGTGCTGGATCCACCGTTGGTGTTAGCCTTGAGATTCGTGCTGCACTTTTCTTTTACTGTTTTAAGAAGCTTTAAAGCGTAATATTAGAGGGGACAATGGAGTATTTACTCCCGGGTGGATATGTACCCAGATGAACAGTAAATTATGGCAAAATAGTAAAATAATTTTTTAAATCTGATTTTTTTTTCAACACACATGTAGGATGTTTTACTCCCGTGCAAAAATTTGTAAGAAATAAGATTCGATGTGCTTAGAAAAAAATCAGTACTATGAGAAAGGTAATTTTTGAAGCATTTTGGGCTGCTTCTTTTTTTATACCGGAAGTTGTGTGAATGTGATTGCTTCATGAAATTTGTACCTAGGAATAACAACTCAAGAATGTTTGCCTACAATTTTTTTTTGGAATTTTCTGGACTTCTTGTGCCATTTTCCAAAATTTACTGTTCACCAGGTGCAAATGCATTGCACTGGGAACCGAGGGTACTTCTCAATATTAGGTCTTATTCCCGTTCATGGTTTTTCTTAATATTTCATGGTGTCGTATCAAGTGCATTCGGGATGGTTCATGCATCCGTGTATCCCTGGACTCCTCGGCCGGCCGATCCACATCTCACGCATGGGATCAAAAGCCATAGTAATTTGCGAAAACACGCCCGCAGCAGCCCTTGCTAATTTGCTAATAGCTCCATAACCGAAGCAGACCTTTGCCAGAATATCATTTTTTTTTTAATCTGGATCCTCTCCTCCAATCGCTCCATGGCGGCACCCCTGGTGAATCCTTCGACGGCAGCCGCGCTTGGCCCACCTCCTCGTTCGTCTGTCTCAAACGGCTCCACGGCCCGGTGATTCCTTAGACGGCGGCCACGCTTTGTCAACATCCCTTCGACCGTGGCCGCGCTTGGCCGGCATCTGTGGCTGTCCGCCTCGCCGAGATCCACCATTGTCTGGCCTATGTCCGCACCCGCCCGCCTTCTTGCCGGTCTCCGACGGAGTCCGCCGTCGGGCGTCGGCCGTAACTTGCACACCATCCACTAGACTGCTCCCGCATCCAGTGGTTGCTCTTCCACCTGACGGCGTCCCTACTACAACAAACTTGTGTTGGCAGCCAGCACAATCCAGCAACCCCTTGTATACCTGCAGAGTGTAGCTTGTGAGCTTATCCATTGCAATTGTTCTTTGTTGAGTTGCGTGTGGCTTCAGAATATAGAATTGAATTGTATATGGTTGGTTAGTATTGATCAGAGCTGACAATGTGACTTGTAGATTGTAGCTTGTGAGTTCAGTGACAAGTGAAAGTAGCTTTTTGTGAATGGAAAATTCAGAAATAAACAAATTTCTTATTGCCTACTTCCTGGTGGTTTGAGGTGTTCTGTAGTACATTATGT